GGGCCGGTTGCTACGTCCATCTTTTATACAGTCTATGCGAGGAACAACCACCGTGATGCTCCGTCTCTCAAAATACAATCAAAATGCGTTGCATGATTCCTACATAGACAATGAGCATTGACAGATCCACCAGACATGTAACAAAACAGCCAGCAGGGGGCGACTCCTCTGGAATCAAAGAGATGTCAGATTGTCTAGAAGTCTATGAGAAAATGACTCAACTTCTTACTTAATTTATTGCCTTGGTAAACAATTTCCTATCAGGTTTATGTTCCGAATTGCTAGTTGCCATTAAAGACTTTTAAAATACATTATAATAATGTCGTAAGTTTTAGTGTCCTCAATCAATACTGGACCAATTCCACACATTTTTTGTCGCTATTGATTATTTAATTAATGGGAAAATAGGGCCCAGGATTAAAAATATGGGACGTAGCCTTTAACATGAGTACACTTTCCTGAAACGACTGCAATGTGGGGGACTGAGTTTACATTTTACATTTCCGTTAAAACGTTCCCTGAATGGAAAAAGATCAGGGAATGTTCCACAATACACCGAGAATCACTGCAATATGTTGCACATTAAGCAGAATACACTTAAGAAAAGGCTAGTTGTACTTTGGCTCAAACAAGGATATTTGTCTTTGTTCTGTGTGTGTTCAGAAAATAATCAAGTCGGAGAACTCAAAGTGACACTTTTGCATATAAAAGCCTCCTGAGCATTTTCTGATGTTAACCCAGTTGAACGTGTGGCTCTAAAAAGCAATAAAAACCCTTTTGATCATGAAAACATTCAAAAAACATTCCAAGCATAAGGACACTATTATAATGAAGAGAAGAAAATGAGGAACACTATCTCAGAATTAAAAAACTAAACAATATACAGGATCTACAACCGTGAACTTGATTGAAAGAGATTTCAAATTGCGAGATGAATCAATGGATCTCGTCTGTGGCCTGTGCTGCACGGATACTTTATCGTTAGCTGAAGTACATCTTCTGTGCTGAATACAATAGCGCGACAAAATGTTATCAGGCCTTCGCAAAACTTATTCAAGGATTCATAGCCTTGTGAGAAAATGAAAAACAGAGGCGCTGCAGGGCTGGAGGTTCACTTTGTCTCCTGCTGTTATGAGGCAGCAGAAACAATCTTTGCTTGTACATTAGCTGTCTCCATGTCGGCCTGCACTAGCAGATGGAACCTGCAGCAACATGTGCAGTGAAAACACACACCTGACTCCTGCAGACATGCATGTACGACACGGTTTATCGCCTCAAACTGTCACATTAATTTTGTTAATTGCACATAAAATAACACGTTTTTTTCACAGCGTGTCACAACACGAACCCTGAATTGTTGGTTCTAATTAGCTGCAGGCAAGAAGTGGTCTAAACTCCCGGTTAGATGTTGTCATAGCTCAGTTTAATTAAATGGAATTCAGTTTTCATTAAGCTGCCATTGCTGTAAATTTTCATCAGCAGTTATGCCAGTAACTCAATCAGCTTGGTTCATTGTCCAGCTGCAGTCCGACATATTTGATTCCTAATTTCTTTGCTTTTATTTCGCCAACAACAATGATTTGTGATTTAGAAGAAGCAACATTAGCAGCAACCGTATGCGTGTTGGACTGTATTTAGGAACAGCAGTACTTTGAGGTAACCGCATACAATGAAAACGCTAACATGGTGTAAAGTTGACCAACATCTTAATTCAGAGCACTGATTTTCCAAACTGGGAGCCACTGCAGTAAAAGACAAACAAAAACTAAAGTGCAAAGTTGTAGCAGCAAACTGGGAGAGTTACTCCAAGTTCAATGAATATGATTTATGTAGAGAAGAGTTTGCTGATGTTATCATACCAACCTTTATTTTACTAAAATCCAACTGAGATTTATTAGTTGTATCTCCTGTCATTGAAAAGGATTTCTAAACATTGTGGCTTGACGGTGCAATTTTTTTTTGGCTTCTCAAGGCTTTGAGGTTCACTGGTTTAGAACTGAGACTGTCTATGAAGCTGATAACTCCTCTGAAGGGAAGCTGGAATATGTCAGAAACCGGAGCTGTTCAGGTGACGTCATTGAGTCTGTGAGCAGGTGCTGGAGTGCACAATCAATCTAGGGGGAGAATTAGTTGATATGCATCTGGTTGGCTAGACAGGTAGCAGTTGCTAATAACTTTTATCTAAGAAACGATAAGCAAGCCCACGACAGCCCAATACAGTCAAGACTGTGACATCCAGGCTACGTGACGTTCAAGAGGTTTGTGCTCACGTCTTCACCTCCCAGTCACATTTCAGACTCCCTCGTCCTCTCATTTCTCAGTTTGTACATCCTCCTGGACTCTCCTCTTCAGTCCCTTCCACCGGAGATGTAAGCAGAGGAGACAAGGAAGAGACATGAGGATAGAGGAGTCCAGGCAGCTGGCGTTTAACAAAATGAGACACCCTCGCCTCAGAGCTATTGTTTTAAATCGACGTCAATTAAATACGACGTGTAGCGCAGCACAGAGGCGCCGTCTGTTTAGCTCAAGTCTACCGCTTCATTTTATGATCTCTGTCAGACGAGCAGAACAGCGTTCAAGACGGCTTACAGCACATATAACTTAAAATCCAATCCGCAATGTGACATAATGTGACAAGAATATGACAACACACGTGCTGTGAAGTATGAACGAGGTGATGCACACAAATGAGTTCTATACAAATAAGGAGCATGTGTGTTGTGATTGAGTGATGTGTGTAACGTACACATGTTCCAGATGTGTGTCACTGGTGCAGAAAAAAACTACCATAAAGGATGCAGCAAGGACATCTTGTGCATTCTCCTCCTGGCTTTTTCTTTGTTTGTTTGTGAGCATTTAGAAAAAAAGTGTCATTCATGTGAAAGTGAAAGAGTATTACTGTTTATAGATATATTTTGTCTATGAATTAAAAATAGAAAGTGTAAAAAAAAAAAATTGCATTCATTCCCTTCAAAGCGACTCACCTAATTCAACACAGGTGCAGCCAGTCAGTACTAGAAGTCACACAATTAGTGAAATGGAGATAATCTCAGTGCAGTGAATGTGTCTCGGTGATTGTAAAGAAACCTGTATGTCCAGTCACTGGTGAATCAGTGCTCCTGCCTGTAACCACACTATGAAGGCTAAAGAACACTCCAAGCGAGAGACGGTTGTTGAAAAGCAAAAGCCAGGGGATGAATTTTCAATTTTCAAGTCACTCAATATCCCTATGAGTACAATTAAATCCATCATTAACAAATGGAAGGAATGTGGCACATATATAAATGCCTAGAGCAGGCCGTCCTCAAAAACTGTGCAAGAAAGCGAAGAGTGAAGGAGGCCACCAAGACACCGATGTCTCCTCTGAACGAGATACAAGCTTCAGTGGCTGAGATTATAGAGACTGAGCATATGCCTGTCAAAGCTTTATGAGAAAGTGTCAAAGAGAAAGCCAGTGTTGGAAAAAACTCATATTACATCTTGACTAAAGTCCACCAGAAGGCGTGTGGGAGATTCAACAGCAGGAAAGTTCTTTGGTCCGATGAGACTAAAATTGAACCTTATGGCCATCAGACAAAACACAGTGTATGGTCGACACCCAACACCGAACATCATCACAAACACACCACCCCCACTGTGAAGCATGGTGGTGGCAGCATCATGATGTGGGGATGGTCAGCAGCAGGCCCTGGAAGGCTTGTAAAGGTAGAGGGTACCAAAGTATAGAGAAGTCCTGGAGGACGACCTGGTGCAGTCAGCAAGGGAACTGTAACTTGGGAAAAGATTTGTTTCCAGCCAGAGCATGTTCATTAGAAGATGGATGTTCTGGAGTCAGAGCCCAGACTTCAGTCCAACTGTGAATTTGTGGCTGGACTTGAAAAGTGCTGTTCAAGATTCAATAGTCTTTATTAATCACATGCTCATACAGTCTGTGCGGCGAAATGCGAAGTGATTGTTCCTCAAGGCTGTGCAATAACAATGAGACAATATGAAAGAATTTTTTTTCTTTCTTAAATATAGAAAAATAGAAACCTGACAGAGCAATTCACCAGATGTTGAGGTAATTCAGCTACTCCAGCTAGTCTGACTAAAAGCAGAGACCCATTTCTTTCCATGAACACTACAGAACAAGCCATGCTTATAAAATAGGCTCAAATGGAACAAGAAGTGAGTTCATAGTTAGCTGTAAGTCATGGAGTCATTAGAGAGAAAGAAGAAGACAAAAGCGGCAAAAATGAATTACCAGCTTGCTTTGTCTGTCCTGACATCATCCAAACAAAAGATGAAGCCTCTCTGCATCAACAGGCGTCTGTTCTCCGAAGGCCGACAACCTCTTCCTGGTTATTAATAGCGCTGCATGCAAAAGTAAACAAACCTAGAATTAAAAAGAAAGCAAATTGTCATTTTCATAATGCAGGTTGCGGAGGTCATCCCTCGATGCGTCACGTCGCCTCCCAGCAGAATTAAGAAACGCCTCAGCGAGCCCACACAGCTGCATTGTTCGTTTGTATCGTTAAAATAAATTGCCGTGTTCTGTGTTCTGTGCAAAGAAAAAAAAAAAAAAACTGTTACACAAAACCTTGTTTTCACCCCGCGGCCCTGCTCAGGATTTTGTCACTGTTTTGTCCCAGGGGCTCCTCAGCTGCTTCAGAGACACAGGAAGACGTGGTGTGTTGTTCCTCTACACTGAACTCACCCATGGGCAAACGCAACAACTTGTCTCGCAGTCTATTGCTGTTTGAGGTAATCAATTAATAACAAACCCCTCATTTGCATCGCGCTACATCCTGCCGGGGGAACGGAATCACATGTGGATGAGGAAGCAGGGGGGACCGAGGCGATGTCGTCTGCCGTCGCTTGAGCTCAGATCGATTTTCGTGCAGTGCATCTGCTGGAGAAGTCATTCCATGAAGCAGCTTTGTGTTTCTGCACGGCAGTCAGATGGCACTTGTGCAACCCCAGACGATATATATGTGAAGCTCCGCTCGAGTGGCAATTTCTTCGAGCCGAAACAGAAGAGAGAAAAAGAGATTAAGAGAGGGATAGATGGTTGATATAATGCCCACCCTCTTCTCGGAGAGGAAGAAGACTTGGTCTGATGAAATGCTCTTTCCAGATTGTGTCTGAAGTAACTTGATAGAGGATGGATGTGTGGGAGGCTATGAAGCACAAGTGGATCTGGCTGAAAGAACAGGAGGTAATGCACTGATCCCGCTCTTCAGCACTGTAATACTAATATAACTTTATTTATACAGCACCTTTACAAACAGTTACATGGTGCTTCAAAGACTGACAAAAAGAAAAAAAAAAAAGCCAAGAGAGTAAAAATCACTGCACTGCTCCACTGAATGTCAGCTAGATTGTGATGCAGAAGAAAAAAGTTGGCATTGTGTTGCTGATTTGCAAGTCTAAAATATCTGCAAAGACGTCAGGGTTAAAATGAGTCATTTGGTCCAAGTGGGTTTTTCATTTCAGCCGGCTTTAAAGAAGGGATGTTGTTAGAAAGCACAAAGCAGAACGAGGTTAAAGGGCGGAAAAAAAAACTAAAGGAAGCTTTCCACGGCAGAAACTCAAGGGCGTCGTGAGGTCGTACGAATATCTACAGGAATGTAATCGGTCCTTTCAGCCATTGTGGTGTATTAACATACAGCTTTAACTCTGAATGCACCATAACATCAACAGATAGTCGTCACTGGATGTAACTCCAGTTGTAGAAACAGACTGTGCAGTAACCTACATGGCAGATTTATTGTTGTTGACTCGATGAGGACATCGAGACAGAATTTGAAAAAATTGAACTTGATGTCTTCTCCGAGTTTATTTTGCAGAGCAGCTTCCAAGTACCGACCCTGGAGTGGGGACTATTTTCACCCTTTGTGAGGTTGTTCTTGCAGTCGGAACACACACACAAACTTTCAGGCTACTTTTAAACAGCCCCAAAAGTTCCTGCTGTGGAAAGACAAATTCTGAAATTGAAGAACATTTAAGGAAAGAGGATGCAAACCTCACTTCACATCAACACTACGACCACCAAGCAGTAGAAAGAGCAGGTTTTGTACATTTTTGTTCAGACCAGATGGTTTTAAATGTGACATGTGACTGTTTCCCTCTTATATATCTGATATATTCTTGTAAACCTTCTTCTATATTACATTTTTATTTTACTTGATTTCACCTTCATTTTATACCCTACCCTAATATTCTGTGTTGTCTTTTTGCTTTGGTGATGAAGTTTTTCGACAGATCAGATGAGTCGTATAAAGATCATCAGCAAAATCCAGACTTTTTAAAAAAAATGTTTTTACAGTTTCTGTCTCTGATAAATGGTGCTCTGATTATTCCTCTTTTTTTTTAGACAACGTGCCTTTCAAACCAGCCGGCAGCTTTGGGGGTTCAGAGGATTAATTACACATATAGTTATTAGTGATGTAAGATAAGAAGGAAAGAATATGAGCAGTTATACCTCGAAACACCATTGGGCCATTTTCACTAATCATAGAAACCGCTGCATTTTGCGTTCACGCCACGTCCACTTATCTGGCGAAACCTAGTGTTTAGATGTCTTTTGATAAGCAGCCCACTATATCACGAGCTGGAGCTAGCTAGATTTAATAGATAGACCAGATAAATAGATAGAGAGGTGAGGAGACCAGAGAGAAGATAAAAGATAAATACTTATTGCAGGCTTGAATGGATGCTGAGCCAGAGACGCTCAGGGCAGAGTGGAGCACTGAATGCTGAAGAACCCGGCTGGCGTCTGGCTGTGCAGAGTAAAGACGGAGCTGTGACTGAGCACAAAGTCCAGAGTGTGGGAACCTCGGCTGAGCAGGTTCTGGTGCGGAATGTGGGAGCAGCTGAACCAGTAGGAGGTCCAGGACTGACGGATGGAGCAGAAGTTAGTCTTGGTTACAAGATTGAGGTGGATCTGACACACCTGTCTCTTAAAATGTAGACTAGTTTACGGATTATATCTGTAG